ACACAGTTTTTATTAAAGAAAATATTTTACTTTTTCTCTTCTTATTCAGGTCATTGCAACATAATAGAGATAAAGTGATAGAAAGAAAAAATAAAAGGAAATCGGGAAGCCTTTTTCAAAAGGAATTTACTTCCGAACCGTTTTTGAAAAAAGAGAAGTTGGCTGTTTTCTTCATTATGTGTCTTTAAATTTATAACTGGATAACATACTTTCTGAAGTTGTAAAGCATATTCCAGTTTTCTTGGTTTGCACTTTCTCACTTACATAATTATCTCTATCGAGTTTTGTTCTCTTCCTAAATGGTAAAGATTCTTCATGAAATTAGCGCAAAACAACCAGGAATTGTAATTATTATTTTTTTATTTTCTTCCGCGCGGTTTTTCATTTCCAATGTCTGTCTGAGTTTCTAGGTTTTGATCTCTATCAAGACCAAGAAACTCAGACAGAGTCATTTTCGGAAATTCTGTGAAGGTATCTAAACTGATAAAATTTTTTATTCAGAATTTCTCGATGTAAATTCGGTTGTAAAGACCCCAACGATCCAGTGATAACTAGGACAATAGTTCCTTGAACGTTGCATATTCAGCAGAGGACAATTCTTTTTAAATTTGATATTATGGTCAAAAGAAAGAGTCCCATCGATGAGAAGGCATTTTTAACCATGGTCTCGGTTTGATGGCATCTACAACTCAGTCTGTTTGGATGTCGAAATCACGCAATAAATTGGCTTTATTGTTCTTAAGTCTTTGAACGCTGCATTCCTGAATAACATTAACCCCTCTGCCTAAGCCCCTGAGTAAAACAATTGTAAATAATTGGTATGTAATGTAGATATAAAAATAGTTACAAGTGTTTACCCACCGTTCAACCGTTGGCTGGGCATTAAGTCATTTTTCTCTAATACCGGTAAAGCGGTGGTTAGAACTCAAAGGATTAATCACATTCTTTGTTAGCAGTAGAATTTTTCGTCGACGAAGTCTATATTTCCTTCAGCACAATGCTACAGCTGCTGTTAATAATAATAATAATAATAATAATAATAATAATAATAATAATAGTAATAAAAATAAAAATCTGCAATTTCTACGGGAAGGAAACTGAAAGAAACTAGGTATGAACATCATCCAGACCCGGTTACGGAGATAGGACCTGTTACAATTTTATGAGACTACACAATACACACTGACAGAACAGTCAAAGCCAACCGCCTAGATATTGTTATTAAAGACCACAAACAAAAACGGTGCCTCCTTATTGATATGACAGTCCCTGCTGACTGCCATGTATCTTTGAAGATATTCAAAAAGCTGTCAAAATACAAGGACGTTGAAATAGAAATCTCAAAAATGTGCCATATGGGAACATCAACAAACCTTGTAGTTGGAGCCCTAGGACTGGTTGGAAAAGATTGCAGTAGACTAATTGAAGGGATTCCTGGAAGTCCATTCAAGTACAGCCCACACTTTACGAAGGGCTTTATCTATGTAATTTTTTTTTTTTTTTTTTTTGTCAGTGAAAAGTGTCATGATGCCATTTCTAACCTTAGGTCCCTTGGCGGGACCCGGAAAAAAATGTGTAAACGCCAGAAATCAAAGAAAATAATAATAATAATAATAATAATAATAATAATAATAATAATAATAATAAATGCAATGTACCAAATGCAGAGACGATGGCAGGATAAGCTTCTTGATGGTCAATACTTTTCCCGTGCCAAGCATACATAATGATAAATTTTATTAGCGCAAAATGCAGATTCTGTAATTAATATCCGGGAACAATTGACCATCTTGTATCAGATTGCACAGTGTTGGCACCCAATGAATATAAACCCCGGCATGACAGATTAGGCCGATGTTTGCATTGGAAAATATGCAACTTTTACGGAAAAGAAATTACAAGAAATCAGTATGAACACCACCCAGGCCGGGTTACATGACCTGTAACAATTTTCCAATACACAGAGACAGAATAATCAAAGCTAAACGCCCAGACATCGTGAGCAAAGATAACAAAAAAACAGAATCTGCTTTCTTATTAACATAGCAGTCCCTGCAGATTGTAATGTATCTTTGAAGGTCTTCAAAAAACTATCAAAATACAAGAATCGTGAAATGGAAATCTCAAAAATGTGGCACATGACGTCATCCATAAGTCTAGTTGTAGCTTTTCATAGCATTGGCAGCGTAATGTCGTTCTCCTCCATGACACAGCTTGGCCGTAGAGAGCAAGGAGAACACAGGGGAACATATGGGAACTTGTATTTGAAAAAATTAATATTCTCAAAATCAATGTTAATGCAAAATTCTCTCGAAAAAAATTACAATATTCATAAAATCCATAATATATTTCGGTTTTAAATAACCAATAAAGATTCGATAAGGCGTCAAAACCAATCAACTAATCACTAAATTTTTTTTGTACGATAACATTTTTTATAATTTGAGAATAAATTTGGAGATAATAGAAATTAATTGCGAAATCCACTGAAAGTTACCCATGAAATAAAAATAATTGTTTGTAACGTCCTACATACATCAAATTGTCTGTAAAATAAGTGGCAACAGAAGAATCATCGTTGAACTTTTAAAAGATAAGCTTAAATCTTAATGCAATGCGTAAATGCAGCGATCAATTTTGAGATCTTCTGTAGTTTTTTGCTGACGATCGCATCTACTTTCTCAAAACCTATTTTGATGAAGGCCCAATCAAGATCCCTATGCAGGCGCTAGCTAAAATTCCACCCTATCAGGTGCCATTAGAGCTAGTTTTGCTATAAAATGTACTGTTGGTAATTTTAATATAAATATGTATTTTTAGTAATTTTCTTTCATACAGGGTGTCCATAAAGTTCGTGTGTACTTTAAAAATTGTATAACTTTATTCGTATTTGCGATAGAAATAATATGTAAAAAATGTTATAAAGTTTAATGTCACTAGTTTTAAGTACAGCTAAAATAACTAATGTGATTTCAGGCATTAATGTAAATCAGTTGGCAAATGTTTTCCGTGAATTGTAAAATCGTATTACTCTTTGTATTGCTAATGATGGAGGACATGTGGAAACTTTAAATAAAATTTCAATAAACCCATAAAAATATAGCTTTACTTCTTTCTAACCCTTTTTACAAATTATTTCTATCGCAAATACAAATAAAGTTATAATTTTGTTAAGTGCATACGAACTTTATGGACACCCTGTATAAAAATGAATTTTTATTTTCATAAAGTTTTTGTTTTAGGGTTTACTATTTAACCATAGCTGGGATGTTAACAGGTGTTACTACCTCGGTTGAAGGTGGATCTTGAAGCAACAGCAATTAAAACGTGGTCCGACGCTACTCAAAACCTTCAGTTACCTAATCAGAGGACTTACTGCCGGATGCAGTTTATCGTCATAACCAGGACTTGATAATATTTTAATTTGACAGACATTCTGTTGTAAAGATGCAGAGACTGCATTCAAAGATTCTTTGGTGTTCAAAGTTTTAACGTAAAGCGTAAATAACCTTGTTAATGGATGACAGAAACCTATAGAAGTCCAGGATTTCGGTATAGACTGATTTAAACACTTTAAATACAATGATTCAGGAATTAATGTTGATTCTAAAATCGGATATTATTTTACGAACAAATAATGTTGAGTTTCAATAAGCGTACATAAATTTCCCAGTCGCCGCGGCTTCAGTATCCACCGATTAGCGAAATGTGGAAGGTTCTTCGCGGGGTTGGGATCTCCTAAACCACATAGACAGATGTGTTGTTAATTATCCATTACGAACTGATTCGAATAGAACTAAAGTATAGAATGACATGTTTAAATACAACTCCGTTTTGCACATTTAAGATTGTATGTATCCAATGTGTTATCTAGCATCACCTACCAGGCTACACCACCTAAGATCCCCTGTCTATATTTCTGAGTTGGGGTATTGAAACTATTTACGCTACATTGTTCGTACTGTTCTTTTCATTATTTACATTATTCGGACTATTGTCCTCATCTTTTTCGCCATATCTATCACAACGTTTCTGCCGTTGTCCGCTCCGGCCTTTGAACCCTTTATTTCGCTCACTGGGGTAGACTGTTCTAGTTCCACGAGCTATTTTTGATGGATGTCAGTTATCAGCTATTTCCTGTTAATTTCCCTCTGAAAGTTCTCCACTGCCTTAACCGGGTATTGAACTTACACTCTTTGGGTCCTGTCACTGGATCTAACCAACGCCTTTATCCACTGTGCCATGTGTCCTTGAGGAAACGCTGTGATAGATATGGCGAAAAAGATGAGGACAATAGTCCGAATAATGTAAATAATGTACATAATACCTCATCTCAGAAATATAGACAGACTTGGTTCTTTTCATCTTCACTGTTTTCTGTCCGAAATTCTAATAAATATCAGCTGAAGAAGGTCAGAGCGTACAACGGCCGAAACGTTGTGAATGTGACAGAAAAGTTGAGCATTGGAAATAGTGTAAAGACTCCTAAAAGCCTTTTTTTTTTCCATTTTTCGTCTCTTTCTTCAAAAGTTAGCATTCCGATGTGTGTTCTTACTTTAAGGAAAATATATTTCTTCACATTCGCCATTCACTAGCCACACAGATACTGTTCAGCTTTCATAATTTATCCTTGTTTTTTTTTCTTCTTCCAAACTACCTAAATTATATGCTGTGTGCGTGCGCGCGTGTGTTTCAAGGTGTTTAAAACAACCTAATATTTAAGGATAATGACTTTGTTTTAGTTATAAACGAAATAATGTTTTTGGTTTCTCCGTTTGTGCATTATTCTGGACACAATAACCTTACCGTCCACTCCATAATCTCTTTTTTGTCTTATTGGTTTTATTAAGAAACATCACCATTTTCTTTCTTTCTTTTTTTATTTTTTTTCCTTTCGATCATTCTCTCTTTCTTTTTTTGTTTCTTTCTCTTTTCGTTTTTCTTTCTTCTTTATTTAATCTTTTTTTTATATTTGTTCGTTCTTTCTTTCTTTTTTCTAGCTTTTCTTTCTTTTTATCGCCTTTTCTTCATTTCTTTCTTTCTTTCTTTTTCTTACTTTCTCTTTTCTTTCTTCCTTTCTTTCTTTCTGTCATTCTTTCTATCTTTCTTTCTTTTCGTTTTTCTTCTTTATTTAATCTTTTTTTATATTTGTTCGTTCTTTCTTTCTTTCGTTTACTTTTCGTTCTTTTTATAGCCTTTTCTTTCTTTCTTTCTTTCTTTTTCTAACATTCTCTTTTCTTTCTTTCTTTCTGTCATTCTTTCTATCTTTCTTTCTTTCTCTTTTCGTTTTTTCTTCCTTATTTACTTTTTTCTTTCGTTCCTTCTTATAGCATTTTCTGACTTTTTTCTTCCTTCCTTTCTTTCTTTCTTTCTTTCTTTCTATTTCCTTTTTTTCTTACTTTCTCTTTTCTGTTTTTTTTTCTTTCTTCTTTCTCTTTTCTTTCTTTCTTCTTTTTTCCTATTTCCCTTTTCTTTCTGCCTTTCTCTATTCTTTCTATCTTTCTTTTTCTTTCATTCTTTCTTTTCTCTTTTCGTTTTTAATTCCTCAGTTTTTACTCTTTTCTTTCTTTCTTTCACATAGCGTTTTGTGTCTTTTTTCCTTACTATCTCTTTTTCTGTTTTTCTTTCTTATTTCTCTTCTTTGTTTCTTTCTTTCTTTCTCTCGTTCTTTATTTCTATTTCCCTTTTTTCTTACTTTCTCCTTTCTGTCTTTCTTTTTCTTTCTGTCTTTCTTTTTCTTTCTTATTTCTCTTTTCTTTCTTTCTTTCTTTCTTTCTTTCTATTTCTCTTTACTTTCTTTCTTTTCGTCTTATAGTTTTTGCTTAAGTTTTACAATTTTTCTTTCATATGACCTTTTCTTGTTGCTTTGTTTCTTAAACGATTTTAGCGCATCCGCTTCTCATTGAAAAAATATTCTTCTGAGAAATTCAGTAGCCTTCTTTAACAACTAAACGGAACGTCTACTCAACTATGGATAGCCAGAAAAAATTACGTTTAAAGTGATAAAATATATGTATGCACACAAACACACACACGCGTCTATGTGTGTGTGTGTGTGTGTGTACATAGAAATATATATATTTAGACAAGATTTAATTGCCACTACACGCATACACCTCCACTCATACGTACAGGAGCATGCGTGTATTCTTAGGCCTGTGTGGAGTGTATTTTAATCGTATGTATTTAGCTATATTTATCGATGTATCACCCAATTAACAAGCAAAAATAAACTCATCACGGATAATGGGTAAATGTATAGCCGAAAGCGCTTGGAATTATAGAACATTTGGACAGTTTTCTACACATCGTGTACATAAAAGAAAACACTTGGTCGAACACAAGAAAAATTAAATAAAAAGCTTAATCGTAGTACCTTGTCCGTTGTCTTTAATGAAACACACACACAGATATATATATATACACACACACACACACATATATATATATATATATATATATATATATATATATATATATATATATATATATATATATATGATATTATTAGTAATCAGTTTAGATATTCATAAAGGATATAAATCCAAGGCGGGGGCAATCATTATTACTGTTATATATATATATATATATATATATATATATATATATATGGTTAAGTAAGTAAAGTTCAAGTGGCTTATCTGGCTAGCAGACATAAGAGTTTTCCATGGAAACGCTAATCAGGTCAATTCGATTTGATTCGTTTTATTTTTACATTTTATCAACCCATTGCACGTTATTTAAAACAAGAAAACGTTTTTAAGTTGTTAGATATTTTTTAGATAATCATGAATTAGTGATAAAAATCTTATTAGTTAATCCATAGCTGGGGAAGAAGATGTGGATACATAGCATTTCCAATGTTATTTGCTTGTATGCGAATATAACGAATCCAATTTGAACTCCAGTTATCTTTTTATGGCAGAATTTCGACTAATCTTAAGAAAATACATAAAATTCTCGTAACTGACTCTTATTTTCACAGTTGTATTATTATTATTATTATTACTACTACTACTACCATTAAATGTATATATATATAGACACAACTAAAGTAAACTTCCATATGTATATATATATATATATATATATATATATATATATATGTCTACATATATATATATATATATATATATATATATATATATATACAGTAGCGTCCCAAAACTAAAGGGACAAAATTTTAAAACCTAATATTTGTTAGAAATAACAAGCGTGAAAAGCTGAAATTTTGACAACTGGTAGTCGTTATCATCCATAATAACATACTAAAATTTGAATCATTTGCAAAGGATAGAAAAAGAATTATAACAATTATTTATTTATTTTCAAAATAGGATCGTCCAAAAGTAAGGGACAAAATTGAGAAAAACAATGTAAACAGTATGCTATATTCAAATTTTTTGATTTCCTCTAAAGAATAAGTCTTACGTTGCATCAGCCAGCACCATGGCGAAACGCCAAAAACTTGATTACTCTGTGAGACAAGCTATTGTGAAGCTACACAAGGAAAAGCACACCATTAGAGAGAATTCAGAGAAAGTGAAACATTCCAAGAGTGTTGTAGGCAGGGATGTTAAATCCTACAATGATACTGGCAAAATAGTTAGTGCTTTTAAAACCGACAGACCCCGCAAAACTTCGTCAAGAGAAGATCAAATAATGCAGCGTATGTCATTAAAGGACCGTTTTAAATCTTGCACAGAAATTAAAAGGGTTATGAATAGTACCTCATGTGTTAATGTGTCAAGACAGGCTGTTTGTAGACGACTGCAAGAAATAGGGCTGTTTAATCGAACCCCAGGGAAGAAACCACTTGTTAGTTCGAAGAATAAGAAGAGATTAGAGTTTGCAAACAGGTATGTAATTTGGACATATGAAAATTGGGCAAAAGTATTTTTCAGTGATGAAAGCAAGTTTAATTTATTTGGAAATGATGGAAAAAACAATGTAAAGAGACGTATTGGTGAAAGATTAAGTGCAAAGTGTACTAAGAAAACTGTCAAGTTTGGGGGCGGAAGCGTCATGGTATTTGGAATGTTTTCTAGCCAAGGTACAACGCCTCTTGTCCGGTTACAAACTCGTGTAAACGCGCAGATCTATAAAAACATTGTTCAAGATCATGTTGTGCCAATCATACAGAATTCAGGTTTCGATAGGGCTACCTTTATGCAAGATAATGCCCCATGTCACAAGGCAAAGGTGGTAATGAGTTACCTTGGCGAGCAAGATTTGGAAATTATGGATTGGCCACCGCGAAGTCCTGACTTAAATCCAATAGAAAATCTTTGGAAGACCTTAGGAGTGAAAGTTATGGAAAGAAATCACACTAACACGGAGGATTTGTGGGTGAAGCTTCAAGAAGAATGTTCTAAAATTAGTATCGAGGATTGTCAAGAACTGATTCGTTCTTGTAGTCGAAGATGTGCAGCTGTCATTGAGAGCAAGGGCTCATTTACTAAATATTGATTGTACATGTATTTTTATTGTTTTTTTGCCGTTTACATTGTTTTTCTCAATTTTGTCCCTTACTTTTGGACGTTCCAAATTTGAAAATAAATAAATAATTATTTATAATTCATTTTCTATCCTTTGCAAATGATTCAAATTTTAGTATGTTATTATGGATGATAACGACTACCAGTTGTCAAAATTTCAGATTTTTCACAGTTGTTATTTCTAACAAATATTAGCTTTTAAAATTTTGTCCCTTAGTTTTGGACGCTACTGTATATATATATATATATATATATATATATTTATATATATATATATATATATATATATATATATATATATATATATGTTGCATACTTTTTATGGCAGAATTTCGACTAATCTGAAGAAAATACATAAAATTCACTTAATTGACTCTTATTTTCACAGTTGTATTATTATTATTATTATTATTATTATTATTATTGTGTATCTTTAAATGTATATAGTTAGACACAAGTAAAAGTAAATCTCCATATATATATATATATATATATATATATATATATATATATATATATATATATGTATGTGTTGTGTGTGTGTGAAAACGCGTTCTCTGTTGATGCGTAATTTTAGTAGAATGTTCGTTTATATATATATATATATATATATATATATATATATATATATATATAGATAGATAGATAGATAGATAGATACACACACACGCACAAACGGTATTTTATTATGTCTAAATGTGTTATATATATCCATATATGGTGTATTTTATTAGATTCTACGTGTAAACATATATATATATATATATATATGAGTGTGTGTGTGTGTGTGTGTGCGTGTGTGTGTGTGTGTGTACCTATGTTTTTGTGCGTATTTTCTCTCCTGTTTTTATCCAGCATCGCCGCGGTCGCTCAGCGGTTTAAGATATTTCTTGTAGTATTTTTATGAATGAATAATGCGAAGTAAAGAACCAGACATACGAATGGAGGAGACAGAGGAACGTATGAATTGAGGTCATCCACCGGATTTATGACAGGAAGCTGCTGGCTATGGATGTCGTGGCGCGAGCTGGGAAGGGGGGGAGCAGGGTTTGATGCAGTCGTATTTAAAATGCAAGTAGGGGGGCAACAACAAAAAAAAAAAAAAAAAACCACCATAATAATAATGACAACAACCCGAGGATTAATAACATACAAAATATAAAACCAGCCTTAGAGTGCATAAAAAGCGCCAAGGATGTTATTATTATTATTATTATTGCCTTTTCATGCCAGTTTTAACCAGAGGCTTTTCCTTGGGATCAAGTGATAGTAAGGTTACTCAACCCCTCATTTTTTAACTCTCTCGCCTAGCAAATTTATTATTATTATTATTATTATTAGGTTGGTGCAAAAATAATGACGTAATAATGTCGTTTTTTGACGTATTTTTTTAACGTCAAAAACGACATTATTACGTCATTATTTTGCACCAACCTAATATTATTATTATTATTATTATCATGCTTTGAACTCCTTAGCCAGCACAACCGTTACGCACTGCCAATACCTTATAAATAATGGATTATTCATGTGGAAAGATGGGAAAGACATACCAAAGACGCTATTTGGTTTCATTGAGAAAGTGAGAGAAAGAAAGAAAGAATAGATGAGAGAAGTGTTTATCATCTCCTGTCGATGACTCGTAAATAATGAACTGTCACGTCGAAAGACGGGAAAGACATATCAGACACGCTACTTTGTTTCAGCGAGAAAAGAAAAGAAAGAAAGGGAAAATAGAAGTGTTTAACGTCTTTTTCAGTGAAATAGAAAAGTTGACAAATTTCGAACCTTTTCATTTGTACCCCCTTACTTCCTAAAAGAACGTCCGGCATTCATATTTATGAGTGTTACTGGAATATTCTGTTAAAGTTGCTAAGCTCAAATATTTTATGATTAGATGGGAGAATTTCTACAGATATTTTATTGCAGTAGAATTCGCCGTGAACTTAACAAGTCATTAACTTAAGAATTAAGATACTTTACATTGTCCTCATCTTTATTGCAATATTCACGACAATTCGACTGTTGTACTCTCCGGCCTTCTTCAGGTGATTGGAATTTCAAATTGAACTCTTTATTTCGTCAACCGGGGTACATTGTTCTATTTACCACGTGCCATGCTGATTCCGGATGTCTCAGTTATCTCCCTTTAATTCAACTCTGCAAGTTTTTGTTCGCCACTTCAGCAGCCGGATATTGAACTGACAACTCTTTAGATCAAGTCACTGGATCGAACCAACGCTTTTATCCCCTGGGAAAACATGACCCCGTGCCTTGACAAATAGAGTTCTATCTCAGTTTCTAATTACGACTTAGT